TTTTCAATAAAACGCATACGCAGAATCCATGTTTTGCTCTATCACGGCTGTACTCGAAGTCCTTGACCTTCTTAATGTAAAATCAAAATTGTCGCTATTGACCTTTACCATCTTCTTCGTAATTTATTATTTCTGTGTTTATAGCGCATTGTATGTCCATTCATCTACATGGAATGAAGTTTTAAATACTTTTAGGCATTACTGGTTGATAATCACACATGAATTACACACTGACTACTATGGCAGCCATCTTAATGTAATCTCAAAACGTTTTGATAAAAATAAATAAAGTGCTTTAAAACAAACGGATCCGTCTTTAAGAATAATAATCAAAAATATAATTATAATGATATAAGCTACATGTCATGTAGAATTATACACAACGTGTAGGTATATTGCACACTTTAATAGTTAATTACATAATATTTCAAAATAGCACATTCTTTACAGACAATTAATCTATGTCAGAGATCCCAAATGTCTATCATTAAAACCTATACTACATTATTTAATTTATCATTAGATGTGTAAATTTTAATTTTGATAAAATAACATTTGGTACACAAAATCATTCATAATTTAATTGTAAACAGTTAAGGTCAGTATGTTAATATCCTAAAAATTGTTTTTCATCTTCAAAGGCCAGTGAATATGTTTACGCTGGCCGCGGCCGCATGTCATTGTAATTATTACTGCCAAACGACCCGGTTAAAAATAAAAACAAAACACTGTCCCCTAAAAAACGCTCAAACCGGCAAAATTGAAAACTTTGCAGACTCGGTTTGATTGAGTTTATTCATGGACGGTACTATAAGGTACCGTCTAAGCCTCCTAGCACCAATCTAAGCAGAATTTATAATTTAAACGTCGAAATTGTGAAATTTAGAAACATCGCTGATGTGTTTGTACAATATGTTTTTTGTTGTTGTATGGCTGTAGCTACTTTATAAAGTTTTAACTTGATTTTGTGAAATAACGTTATTGTCTTAGTTTAAATCAGCATGTACATTATATGGCAAAGCCAAAGGCGCTGCACCTTATTATATCTTATGTTCTAAAAAGCCTTCAATGGACCTAATTAAAATTATGGGTATCTTATTCTATTATAAAATATTATATTTTCCAATGTCATTTGCTACGATATATTTATTTTATCTAATATGTTTCAACTGTCTCTTCATAAAATTACTTTGGTATTTCTGTAACTAAAATATGAACAATCTATTTTTGCACTATCCTCAAAATTATGTAATACAAAGATAAACAAGGGTATGCCACTTGAAACATCCCCGGCGCTCGGCTCGGTGAAGGATTCATGACATTTGACTTACAATAAAGGCATGGTTACTGTAAGTCTTATAAGTTTTACAAAAAGAATAGAAACATTTATTTATATTTACAGTATTTCTTATTATTCTGAAAAAAGATCTATGAATGAATGACAAAGACGTAGACACAACCATCAATGTTCTAAACTGACTTATATACCTGTTTACCAAGTGCTTAAAAATTACTATGCTCCTAATGTCTGTATAGTTATGCCAATATCCAATGAATGACTGAATTCATGAGCAATCATGACCTTAAAATATTTATATAAAATGAAATATGACCTTCAATATCTTAAATGATGCGACAATTCTTTTCTCACTCAAAACACGTTGTTTCAAAGTACAGTACTATGTATTTTTTCGTATGTGAACTGGTAATGACCACCAATGCACTTTCACACCATGACTTTAGACATTCAAGTGTGACCTTGGAACTTTTGTTCTCTACATGTCGTCCTACAAAGAGGAACATTTATGCCAAATATTTTTTAGGTTCATCCACGAATGACAGAACCGTTGACCAATTTTTTAGGCACTTTTAGAAAATATTTTGTTCGAGGTGAAAGCGTTACTTTGGTATTTGATCTACATCATCAGCTGGGTTTTACATGCAATACCCATCAGCGCAAATTAGTAAAGTGAGGCAAAATATAATTTGGGAGTTTAAAGGGTTTTAAAAGGAACCTACAAACAAATCCAAATGACAATGCTCAAATTATCTTGCGTGAAAAAATGCATAAATATGTCGAGCTTTACAAACAAATTAATTGTAAAATATGTAGTGAGCTAAATTAAGATATCAGCCTACACCATGCCCTCGATACATATCTGAAGCTTCAAGTGGATAACTCAAGTAGTGATAGAGATTGATCTTTCACTTAAAGTTACTCTCAAAAACACAGCGCGTCTAACAAACATCAGGTCTGTGGCCGAGTGGTTAAGGTCGTTGGCTTGAAACCACTTGCCCCTGACAGCTGGGGGTTCAAATCCCGACAGGAACTTTGGATTCTTGCGTGTGAGGAAGCTAGCCATCTAGCTTAAGGATTGCCGGTGATTCTACACGTTCGTGCCTGAAATAATGCATGGAAGGGCACCTGAAGTCTTCTACCACCATTATACTGGAACGTTGCCATATGATCTATACTGTGTCGTTGTGACGTAAAACCCAAACAATCAAACAAACAAACAAACAAACATCAACATAATCTTTAACAGTTATTCAATATATATATGCATAGAAGTGAAATTTGAAGTGAACAAACACTTAAAACAAATATAAACATCTATTTTATCAATAGCGGTGTGGGTATAATGTAAGTCAATATTCAAAAATAATTAAAACTTTGCAGCATAACAAAACTTTACTTTTATGGTTTTTTTTCGGAAAAGACATGTATTTAATGCACGAGCCTAAGGTGAAATGCTATCTTTTAATTATATTTTATTGCAAACCCGCCCAATCTACTATATATGGGATAAAGGCTTTCAACTGGTAACCAGATATTAATTTGCTTAGGAAGCGAAATGCTTACCCCATCAACATTTAATGTCAGCTTTATATTTTTCATTAAGGTAGTGATATTTGTATACGGGTTTGTCTTGTTTATGTAGGTTATTAATTATTGTGAAAACTCTTAATTACCCACGCAACATGGTAAAACAAAGACGTTTCACCAATTCACAGTTGTCAAACTATAAATCAGAAGTTATTTTTCTTTATTTAAAATCCAATACCGAGGAAGTGATAAATTAATTTCCATCGCGTAAAATATAGATAAACCATCCCCAACCCCGTCCTATCCTTTAATGTTGTAGTGTTGATCGTCGCAAAAGAGAAATTTAAGTACCATTTTCATCTTTTGTTATGAAAACAGATATACCAGTATTGCCTACATAAAGATAAACCTTGTTTTGCTTCGGGTATACATAATACGCTTCAGTCACGTTATTTGGTTAACCGGACAATAAAACCCAGCAAAAGTCAGCCAATGACATGTACCATAAAAATAACCGGGGTTTCTTGTGGGGAATTTTATTTATTAAGAAAAGCAACATATATATTGAAATTTTGTTAATAATCAAAATTCGCATTCGTTTTTATAATGCAATAAAAAAGTAACTGTTATAATATATCAAACTCGACCGTTATGTGGAAATAATATGGCCAGCATATCGGATATTCCTACAGAAAATGATACAGTCTCTATCATTTTCTGTAGAGAAAAACCCCGACTTTGTCCCAGTCCATGATGACAAAACAGTCTAAATTTTACTTTGACTTAAATCTGAAGTAAAACTTCTGTACAAATTTCCCCGCTCGTTCTACGTGATATTTAATTTAGATACATTATATCATTGATAACGATATGTTAACCAATAAACACAAGAATTTGCGTCATAACAGATGCGACAAGATGAACAGCAATCCGTTCTTTTAAGTTTGATTTTGGAGGATTTAGATTATGTGTGATATTCAGAAAATTGGACATAAACATTAAAAATACATTTCCTACGGTAAAATCATATGTCATAGGGATAAAATGTGACAAGACGAAGGTGGATATTTACCTTTACATTTATAAGAGATACCATAACTTCAACATAGAGGTAAATCTTTACATATATATTACCAAAAGCAAATAAACAAGTCATTTTAATTTAATATCTGTCAACGAGTATAAAGTTATGTTCTCTTTTAGCTGAGCTCGACATAGTTGTTTAAATGGCTGTTTAGTGTTTGTGTTTGTATGCGTGCATCCAAATTTGTATATTCTATAATTTCTTCGTGAATGTAGAAGAAAGAAGTCCGAAAATACACCAGTTAGAATACGGAAAATATGCTTCACTGCAGTGAAATATTAATATTTTCAGTGAAAATACAGAAAATGAAAATACAATTTTATTTTATCAAAATTTCTAACTATTTCATTTATAAGTATATAATAAAAATGAAATATTTGTCATATTAGTTCAGATACAAAGACAATCTAAGATCTAATTAAATTTTATAAGGTAACGTTATTTTTGCCCTCCCGCAAAAATTCCAGATACACCGCTTGTTTCCTCCGTAGAGAATAATTAAACATCCATGTAAACAACGCAACAGGCGAAATAAACATCAAAATCTTTCAACATATTCAAAATTGGCCTTTTAGCTTTGCCGCATTTAAATCATTTGCGCTTTAAATATGGGAACTAATATATTACTGTATAGCTCCGAGTATAGCCATACTGATTCTCATCTTCGTAGCACCAACACATACACGCGCGCACATACAAGTTAATCGCTTTATGCCACTTCATGCGGTTGCATTAAAATGACCGCAAGGGCCGAACTTATCTTAACTTAGTTTCGATCCTTGAGGATCTTTCAGCACGACATATTTGCTGTGTATACGTGTTACGTGTTATTATGAGTTTTTTTTTTATTTGGCATTTTTCAACTTGGGTGGTTCCAGTATTCCTACACGAATACAGTATGATCACCCTTACAATATGTTGCCTGCTTTTAACGTCTCTGTGACGTGCAGATTTCATAACTTCAGACCCCCTTTCAAAATTCCATTTTGATTTAGTTCTGCCCATTCTCTTATTTGGGGACCATACGCCGCTTTTCATGGAATGGCACTACTTTGTCACATTGGTTCCATGATAACCGCCGTCTGCGGATGTTTCTAAATTCAAATTTTACTATTTTCGTGTTAAATGTTGAATTCCTCTTAAACCGGTGCCAAGGGGCGTAAGTGTTAACTTGCATTTTCCAGTACGGTCCATGAAAAGGTTAAATCAATCCGAACCTGCCAAATTTTCAATTTTGCCGTGTTTGACTATCTTTAGGGATTCTATTTATTCTCTATTTTGTCATTAGATAACCTGTAAAAAACGGATAATATATCATTAGGGTGATAATATTCACTTCTTATGTAAAAGTTTTTGAATGTATATATAATTCAGTCAAAGTTGATGAAACGAAGTAATCCTAAACGTATCATTAATCATTCAAGGATTTTTAATATCTCTCTCATACGTTTATTCATATGAAAGCTTTTTTATTTATGTATCAAATACACCAGTATATGGTTTTGATAACCATATGTATACATTACTTTGAATGAAGTGGTATTAACTTTACAAAACACAGTTGTAAATACCACATTGACTTGTTGATATTGTACTTCCAAAAGTAACATATTTACTAGATGCTGTCTACGAACTTTTAAATTATCATTTTGAACGTATGTTGCATGACTGGTGCTCGATTAACATAATTTAATTAAAATATATCCATAAAATGAATAATTTTGTTCAGACTTAATATTTACATAAAGGTAATTAAAAGTTATTTAAGGAGTCATTATGTCCAAAAATGCTTTGAATAGTTATTTGTCAAAAGCTTTTTGTTATATTTGATGTCCTATTATAGATATTCAAAGCTGCTAATGACGAATTACTTTAACCATCCTTTGCTTCTGATGTATATTGGGAAATAGTACATTTAGAGTGATTTTATCTTTTTTTGAAAAAAAAAACAACATTTGATAAGAATACATGTATAAACTTAATTACTTCCAAACATCACTGTAGGTACTTTACATTTGTCTATTATAAGATGGGGAACAGTTCGACAAGGCAAGCAGAACAGACAGAGAAAGCGGAAAACCGTGTTAACGTTTTCCGGTTGGAAAAACTCATAATAGAAGGAGGCCTCCTAGTTTTGAGAAACATACTAGACCAGACCCTGAATGCTAAAGGCGTAACCCTACGTGCATGTTTGAATCTAGAAAAGTCAGCAATTAAACGTTTGAAAAGCCGCGGCATTATAACAGAGGTACAATATGACCAATTGTTTCCAAAGGTGGGTCAAGGTCCAACTACGTCGGATATGGATATCACGCTTGTCATTTGTCTTCTAAGATGCCTGAAGTGTGTTGGATTGAATAAGAAATTTGACTGGAATGCAACACCTGAATTAACCGATGTAACAGTTGAGGCAGATATATGTCGGTTAAAAGCGTTCCTAAATAGAGTAAGTAGGCAATTAAAAAGTCAACATGCTTATACAAACTTTTTAAGACAAAACGACAATATGAAAACCTGAAATTTTTTTTCTTGAATACACGTGAATTTTTTTTTCTAAGTACTGCTAATTAAAAAGGTCTCATAAGAATAAAGTGAGTTTCATGAGACCTACTGTATAAGTGAATTGTTGAACAGTATACAGCTTATAATTCATTTTATTACCGGCCCAGTGATGAGTGATTAATGCAGTAATGAGAGCAATTTAAAATTGAATGATTACTGCAAGAAATTTAAATTGGGTTAATATTTATAGTACGAATAAAAAGACAATTCGTTGCTATAGACTAAATGTCCATTCTTGAGAAAATATCCATACACAAATTGTTTAACTGATGCAAAGATAACTACAGTCCGACCCCCGTTACTCGACAACCCTTTATTCGAATAAACGGCATTATTCAAAGAAGATCGGCGGCCCCGTTTATATCTCTACTGTATATAAATCAATATAAACACAAGCGTATTATTCGAAACGCATTATCCGAATACCTCCTTTTTTCGAAGTAAAATTTTGGTCCAGATGATACAATTATGAAAGAATATTCGAAGCCAGACTAATTGTTATTCGAAGCCAGACTAATTGACGCTGATCCAATCGCTGACCTGTCGACTTGTAAAAAATATCAACAGTCATGTCTGTATTTAGACAATTACGAAAATTACGCTTTGTGTATTCTTTAATCAACGGTATGTACCGAAAATAAAAAAGCTATGCACCGAGTCCGATGTTGTTTCTGTAATTGCTTGAAGATGACAGTATACCGTATAAGTGAATTTGTCAAAAAATCCAAAACATTTTTGTCATTGAGATTAACGCTACACGAGAGCCTTTACCCTAATTAAAAATACAAGAGTTTAGCTGTTAATACCGCAGTGAAAATACAGTCATTATCAAGGTTTTGCATGAAACGAAACAAAACATAAAATAGAATAAAATGGAAGTATTTATGACATCAAAGCCAATAAAATAATTTTTATGCATCTTTTCTTTATTTTTTCTCTCAATTGATTTCAGGAAGTGTTGAAAACTGTAGTTTTACTATGATTTGTCAAAGGGAAAGTGGGAAGGGTCTTTTTTCTTTTTAATTTTTTCGCCCGTTATATTTGGGATTTAAGAATTTCTTTCTCCCTTAAAAAGGTTTATAAAAAAATCGAAATTGGGGCCCCCTGAGTTTACTTTCTTTGTTTTTTCCAAGGGGTTATAAAACCCTTTAAATAAATTTTAGCATGTGTCATTTTTCAATTTCCCCCGCGGTAATAAGCGCCAGTTTAGGGCAGTCTTTTGATTTGGATACTTGAAATGACTAAAAAAAACAGGAAAAAATGTTATAAAATTGCAAAATTTTTCCCGGGTTTCAACCCTTTAATATGCTTATTAATAAATGGGTTTTAAAATATAAAACATTTTCGCAAAAAAACTTTAAATTGGGCCTTATGACATTTTTTGACAAAGAAAAAGGGGTTTTAAGGGGAATTCATCGCATTTGTAAAAAGACAAATAATCTATTATTCTTTACACTATATATGAGAAACTTGTTCGTTATAAAAGACTAAAGTTGATAACATTCGATTAAAAGAAATTGATGCTTTAAACACGTTTTTTGTTGAACATTTTGATCAAATAATCTTTGGATAGAAATATTATCATGTCTATGGTAACTTATTTTTGTCGATGACTTTACAACACTTTTACCTTTGAATTTGAACTAAAATAAAGAGAAATGCACAGTTTAAATGTTTCCAAATTATTTATCTAAAGGAAAGATGTGTTACCGATTTTTGTCACCACGTTTAATCGTTATAAGTAGATTTATCTGTAATAGAATAAAACAGCGTTGTAAGCATTTAATGCGTTTTATAAATCGGTACGTATCTTAATTACGAAATTGTCCGATACTAGAAACTATTCAACTTTTTTTCAACGATATTATGGATCGTTTTCTAAGGGAAAAAAGTCTACCTTATATTTTCCTAGCCCATTATGGTATCTGTGTTGGAAATCACAAACCTTCCTCTTTGTTCACTAATTTGATTAGCCGCGGACGCTCGCACCGGGTATCTTTGCAATATATTTTTAAGCTGATAATAGTCCATTTTAGTCAGTCAATAAAATTAATGTTCTATTTTTCTTACGTACTAGTGATTCTTTATCGGAATCTTGTAATTGTTTCTATGGCTTGTGCTTTGAAACTCACCATATTGACCATATGGCGTTGAGAGTTTTTAGAACTTCTCTTTCTTCCGTTTCTTTAATCTTTTCTTCCGTTCCTTTGAACTTTGCTACTAGTGAAAGGAGCCTTCTACTCGAATTACAGCTACCAATAATGAAACGGCCTCTATGATCGGGTGCAACTTAACCGTCTGTCGAATCCTTAAACTGCTTAAACCATTTTCTGGGCCGTTTGTATAGGGAACCCGGTTTTGGCGCTTATAATCGCACACCTTTATGGAATCCATCTTTTGTTCTGCAAGTAAAGTAGTAAAGATAATTCTTATTTTTTCTCATTAGGTCTCCTGATTTTCATTGTCATTTTTCTGTATTACTCCTGCTGATGTCATGATTAGGCCATAACGCCTAAAACAAGTCTTTTCGGCTTGTCGGATTGTGGAGATTTTTTTGTGGCGTAAAACCATTTTGTAATGCGTAAAAGTCAATCAGAATATTGGCATAATTTTGTCTCAACTTCTTTCACAAATGTGGCAACTCATCGTTAGCAGCGTGAGCATAATATTCGGCGAAAGAGTAATCATAAGTTACGTATTTGTTTAATCTATCTTTGAATTCTTCTTCATGAGACTGTCTAAAGGGCTTCTGAAATCTTTTGTCTCTTATACCATTATGTTTACGTTCTTCTTTAAGCTCTTTTTTATGCATTCACCAGGAGGCCCTAAAAGAAACATTGTCTTTTAAAACCACTTTCTGCATGCTCATTATTATTCACCTCTTCATCATTATCATCATCATCATTTTTAGCAACCGGACTTTCCATCTCGAATATATTTTCGCACAAACGTTCTTGTTCCGGGTACATAATTTAAGTCTACCACCAAATAGCCGTGCCGTATAGACGTGGACTGAGGGATAAATTGTCCTTGCCAACGTCGCAAAGTGCTGTCTATCTATATGATTATTAAACAATACCAGATATTTGCGTATTTAATGTTATATATCTGCAGGTCTTTCCTTGAAGGAATAAATTTACTCGTCAAGTATACGAATGATTTGTTTCTGTGATCACTACCCTTGGTAAAAAGAATCGCAATCCTTTGGTCAAATTTTGGCTTCCGTCATTAAATCGTCAATCAATTAGATTCCCTTTGTTAGGCTTAATTTATTGAAATATTTTCAGTAGTCGGGAATACCGTGTACGAATTCGATCCGAGGTATTCTACGCTGAAGTTCACTGATATTGTCCGAAATTTCATATGATTCCCTCAGGCAGTGGACGTACAAGACCGGACAAATTCAGTTTTCCTGTCCATTTGGTTTCTTTGCTACCGGTGGGTTGGCCCCGGATACAAAAACCCTGAAAAAAAGGATGTTTTAGATCTAATAATCCCGCCGGGGCCCGACCTGTGGGCGAAATGAAGTTTTTTTCAAAAGCTTTTGAGTGTTTTTTTTGATGTGGGCTCTGTAAAATTTGTCAAAAAACCCACTAAAAGTGAAAACCAAAAATCGTAAAACGGATATGCAAAGAAATTTTATTTAAAAAATATTTTGGGTAAAAACTATTAACGATTCTTATTTGTTTGGCCTCCTCCTCCTCCTTACACCTCCACACTATACCTTCTCCCTCCTCCTGCTACAATAATTTACAGGGTGTGTATTAATGGTAACGATAACATTTACAACAACGACTACGTAATAACTCAACTTCAAGGATAACAACAATGCCTTTAAATAATTCAAATACGTTCACGATTACGAAAATCAACTTATTTTGTATGGTTGCGTCATTTGTAAATGCCATTGTTATTCTCCTAAAACCACCTGTTGTTCTCTAGGGAATAATGGATGTCATTTTTATGACATGCATTAAACTAAGTAAGCACAAACCTGCATTATTCATATTCTTATTTCCCTTATTTCTTGCTCATTCATTTTTCGAAAGCTTTATTTCCATGCTTCAACAAGAAACTATCAACACATCAAAAACACTGTCGTGGGACTGTTAACTTATAGTTATTTGAAAATTATTTCAGATAAGCCATATATCAAATTCAACTTTTATACACCCATATAAAATTGAAACTTGGTGGAATGAAATCGAACAAAGGTTTTTGAGCAAAAATTCTTTTTTAAAATTGTTTTGATTAAAAAATTTTTAAAACCCAAAATTTTATAATTTAAAGGGCCCTTTAAAATTAAGGGCTGGGGACCCTTTTCAAAAAAAGGGTGATTGAAGGGAAAAATGATTTTGGGGGTAAAAAATTGGGTCATGACTTTTATTTTTATGTATCTAGCCCTGGGAACCCTTTTTTTTTATTGTAGGGGAATTTTTCCCTTGGGTTTAAAAAATACAATTATGTATAGTTACATATTTAACAATATGATTATCAATTATCTATTTTCTTCCTTCATATTCCTTTCTTTAATGAAAAAGCGCTAACAGAGAATAATTTGAAAAACACATTAACTATCAAACTCAATTTTAAATGCATATATAAACAACCCCAAGTTGATATGTTTTGTTTAATTCTTTTCACAGATACTTGCTCGACTAAGTTCTCCATCTCTGAATATTCAGCAAACCATTAACGATTTCAAAACCTGTCCTCTAGATCCAGAGGAAGAAAAAAGAGTACAAGAAGAAATAAAAAAGTGGAAGGACTATGAAGCCGTTGTTGATCAATTGAAAGGAGAAATGACAGATGTGAAAGAAAGGGTTACTGAAGTGGAGAAAAACCAAAAGGATATCAAAATACAACAATATGAAGGTATGTAAATTTTTGCTAGATTTCGTATGACTGTAAAATAAAAAAAGATTAATTACCGTTAACATCTGGTGTTATATAATAATAAGAATAACAAAGAATAAACGTGCTACAATGAATGACAGACTGAAGTAGAGAAATAAAATATTCAAAACAGAGAGATGTAAAATCATGTTCACCAATTGAGAAAGGAAAATGCACAAGGATAATACATCAAAGCAAGCTTATATGTATACCTCAGTTGTGTTTGTTTTTTGAACCCCCTGGGGTCAAGGACAGGAAATGGTCACTGTTACTGTAAAAAGAACAACGGTTTCTGGAAGATAAGCTTTTAATAATAATAATTATCTGTTGACAAATGAAACATCATAAATAATAGGTAATTTTCAAAACTTGTTTCAGGCTACCTATTTTTTGAACAAGAGAGGGAATCAATTGAATGGAGTAGATGCATCACAAAAGGAAGTGAAACAGCAGCACAAATTTTAATGGAGAGAAAAATTTTACCTTCTCAAATACAGCTGAACAAGGCATGCCTTACATTTGGAGTGGAATCACACATATTTTCTGAAATATGCTCTATGATAAGCAAACATATCAAGGCAAAATCAGAAAATGTCATCGATGTATGGCCATCCTATCGAAATGACCATGTACTTCAAAGTAGCTATTTGTCTATTGTTTTTGTAGTTGTGGGTAAGAAAAATTCTGGATATTCGGTATCAAAAGAAAATTATCAATGTTACATCACGTGTGAAAATGACTACAGTTATGAAGGACAAATTGTAGCTATTAAAGAAATGCAACCACACACTTTTGACATTCAATCTGCTGATGCCGTTCTGGAAGAAATGAGAAAATGCGTAAATAAGAACGCTGATGATCTTTTTAAAAAGCATAGTAATCTGAATGTAATTTTACCAAGCTTGATGAAATCAGTAGGTTATATGTCAAGCAAACATGACATTAAGATCAAACCTTGCATAGCTCTCTATGTTTCAGTAAAGGGATGTATACCTCTAAATGAGACACTATTTGAAAAGGAAATTGATGGATTTCCGACAGACGTTTTGGAGGGAGAGTTCAAACCATTTTTAGGTGGGCCAAACCAATACCATACACATCTTAAGATGGGCGTTGCAATACACGCGAACGTTTTAGTCGAAAATAAAATTTTTGGAGGGACTCTTGGAGGTTTTATAGAACATTCAGTGCATGGATTATGCGGAATAACAAGTGCACATGTTGTATGTGATAGTGCTGAATTAGCAAGGCTTAAAACTGCAAAAGAATTACATTTAAATAAGACGGCTTATCAGCCTATAAATGAAAGCATGGCAGCTTTTGGTGAAGTTGTTCTGGCTGTTTACAATGAAGGAAGTGAGTCCGAATCTGGAATAGAAGTTGCTCTTATAACCATAAACGATAGGAAACCGAAGGATGGAAGTTTTCCTAATGCATTCAATGATTTGGAAGCAGGTGAGATTTTTTATTTATCCCAGGACAATCAATCAGACTTAGTTTTATAAAATGGCGTTTCCCGTCTCTTATTACCTAGTACATGCGTCTGTCTGTCTGTCCGTTCGTGTGTTTGTCCGTACGTCAGAAAACTTGTCATGACTACCCCTAAGAAACTACTGCTGCAATTTATTCCAAACTTAAATGACAAGTACCAAGTCTATTTGCGCATATCGTCAACATTTTCTGATTAAATAATTTGTGTAAGAATATGGCCCTTTAATAATTTTAATTTTTAAAGTTTGTCCGAAAATACTCCTCTTATAACACTAATGGAATTTCAATGAAAATTTACAGAATTGATCTGGTTCTCAATTCCTTGCGCATTTTGCACGGGTTTTCCGGTTGAAGGATTTTCAGCCGAGTTATGGCCCTTGAATCATAAAGTGTTGTTTTTGTGTGTTTGCAGTTACACCAATAAGGTTTTGTTGACTACTTCTCAAAACCTTACTGATATAATTTCATCAAAACTTCACAGGACTGATCGGATCCAAGTTCAGTTATGAATATCAACAGCTTTGTACAAATAAATGAATTGTTTGATAGGTCTAGTGCTTGTGCAATCTACACAAGTTTTTTGCTTAAAGGATTTTTGTTTGAGTGATTGCCCTAAAGGTGATATTTTTGCCAGTTTTAAGAAGCTTGTCTGGATACTCCTCAGAAACGACTGGTGCAATTCCATTAAAACATTTGGGAAATGGCGAAAAAATTATACATTCTCCATGCTTTTAAACAATTTGCCAGGATTGTCCAGCCCCTCTTGAAAGTTTACCCTGGAACATTTACGAGCGGGAGATGTTTCTTCAAATATATAGCAAATCCTTACTGCGATGATAACGCTTTTTTCCAAAACTACCTAGTAGATATTGAACACTTACTACAGGAATGTCTGTTTGATATCCGCCTACAAAAGTTTTAGAATTGGTTTCATCTCAATATACAAATAAGACACAGACGCTTAAATTAAATTTTACAATTAGCTCTAACTAGCAGATTTACACATTTTTCTACAACTCATGTATAAAGTGTAAACAAGAAAATCGAATTGATGCGATTTTATTCATTAATTACTTCTGCATCTTTCCTGGCAACTGATCAAAGGTGAGAGATCTAATGTCCATCATCTTTTTGTATCATTTTCAGGGTTTGATTCAAAAAATCAATTGTGCTTTAACTCTGGTGAAGTGCGTGAAATATCAAACTCTATGCGATGGACTGTGGTTTACAAATTTGGCATGAGCTCCGGGATCACAAGGGGGACCTTTGCTTTGTACGGAGGAGTAGTACGTAAAGATATGCAAGGACAATGTAACGGTTTTGGATATAATCTTAAAAATCAAATTAAAATTCTTCAAATTGGAGATAATCCTTTTGCAGAACACGGAGATTCTGGTGCGTTAGTTTTGATAAAAGGAACACATGATTATGCTGCTATTGGCATTGTGGAAGGTGGTATGAGGGGTTGTGTGTTTGTAACCCCGATCCGTGATATTTTAAGAGCTGTTGGTTACACAGATGTAAAAATGTACCGATTTACGCCGGAATGTAATGACATTTTGACGGTTTCAGAAGTTGAAATGGATGTCTCTTAAATACTTATATTTAAAAAAAAAAAAACACAAAAAAAAATCACTTAAATTCAAGTAAAGTTGTGTTATGCGTTGATGTATTGAGTGCTTTGCCTCCGCTCTAAGAGAGATTGGCATTAAGATTTATCCCTGTCCATCTGCCAGTCGATGTGTTCTTACAGTCTCAAGCTGTGTCACTTGAAGCGCAACAAGTGCTTGAGCTAGAGTCTATAAATTTTACCGGATTATCAGCATGTTTAGTTGTGCATCCGGAAATTCTCGTGAGGATTATTATTTTTTTGTCAGAGTTATTGCTCCTTGACTAAGTATGCAAATTGAATATTTTAATTTGTACCCCACGTAGCTCAAAAAATGTTCGACCTAGAGTCATAAAACTTTGAAGGAAGATATATTTGCGGCGGAGAATTTGCTTGTGGATTTATTCAGTATTTGCAATTTTCAACTTGTGTGGCGTAATTAGTACAACAGTTTTTGACAAAGAGTCAACGAATTTAAATAAAAAATGTTGAGGATTTTCTTGTATATTTATTTACTATTTGTAGAGTTATGACCGCTAACTAAGTAAAAGATCTAGAGCAGTTTTATAGGTCAAACTGCTGACAGGACAAAACCCTTTCTAGTTAACTCTGGGATTGGCTAGAGGATTTATTCAATATTTGTAAAGTTACTGTCCTTGACTTCTACATGAAAGATATTTTAATTTTCGTTTAAGCATATTTAAGGATATTAAATTCATGTTGAATTTTGTTAATGTTGGGTAAGGTAATCATTTAGCTTTGAAAAAAACTGAATGTCGTTTTTATGCCCCACCATTAAGGGGTAGGGGAATTATGTGGCGATACTAGGTGTCTCTGTCATACTGTCATCAACTGTTATTCAGTAGACTGTGGAATAGTGGGACTTTTGTGTCATATGGACACATTTATCGTCGAACCCGCTTGCGGTGAGTTCGACTACTCCACCACGTTTGGCGTAAAGTTCGGACGTCAATACAAGCATCCCTCTAGATCTTTCTGCCATTCTTCGAAGGATTACGAAATAGTTTGCATTATTGGGTGGATGTGTCATACGCAAACCCAGGTCCGCCGCTCAAAGGTCACACTTAGGGGTCGGCCCAAAACCCATGTCCTAGCAAACAATTATAAATAATAATAATAATAATGATAATATTAATTATAATTTTATTATTATTATAATAATAATAATAATAATAATAATAATAATAATAATGATAAAAAAGGCTTTATTTCACGAGGCTACACATTCGCCAAAACGATCTTCCCTATGAACCTCAACATGTTTACAACATAATTACCTCAAATAATTGTACAAAAGACAATGTAATATTATCAAATAAAGCATTCCATAGTCATGAATGAAATAATGAATTAAACAAAATTGTTTACCATTAAGACGGAATGTCTTAGTAAATATAATTGGACTGCATCACGACAAAACCAACAAAGTTGGTTTGCAACCAGCATGGATCCAGACCAGCCTGCGCATCCGTACAGTCTGATCAGGTTCCATGCTGTTCGGTTACCAACTGTATTACAAGTAGAGAAACTGATAGCGAAAAGCGTGGATCCTGATCAGACTGTGCGGATGCGCAGGCTTGTCTGGATCCATGCTGGTCGCAAACCCATTATGTTGGTTTTGTCGTGACGCGGCTCAATCATATAAACATATTGTACTGATCTAGCCATACCTTCTACAAAAGTGGTGGGATTTTAATATAACTTTAGACAAATGTTTGAAATGGTGGGTCACCTTATATAACGCAATGCCAAGATTTTGCCTCGTATATAAAACAGATGTGTTGCGCACATCTCACATATATATACGAGACACATCTTCCCCCTTGATCTGAAGCTAATATGTTAAGGTTTGACTTATCACGGAGTGACACCACTGCGTCACATTGAAGGTTCCATGATAACCACCGTATGAACACATCTTCGGAAGTTTCTAAATTCTAAATTTCACCATTGTTTGTGTTTAAATGTTGAATTCTGCTGAAGTTGCTAGGGGGCGTGAACAGACTCAATCAGACCGAGCCGGATGCCTTGTATTTAGATCTTTGTACATTTATATCCGTTAAAAGAACTGATTATGAGATTTTGTTCTTGACATGAACTTTCTGATCTGATGGACAACTTCATAATAGAACTTACATAAATAATTCCAATAATCTATAAGAAAATGTGATTGAAAAGACAATTTATATGCAGTAGTAAAAAAGTAAAAGAAAACTTGCTTAGTCGATTGCTGACATTTGACTCAAGAGTATGACACATGCATCAACAGATAACTGGATAAATGATTAAAGTAAGCGTTTGCACTTGGTTTCTTTTTTTATAATATCTGACAAATAAAAGAAACTAATTATGCAAAGATAGATAAAGATATTGACTTTTTCGCTAAGTTAATTCGAAGGAAAAATTTTGTGCGCTTGCCATCTACAAACTTAAACATTGATATTTTTAGGTATTAGATGTAAAATTTACACTTTTTCAAAAGGCATTAATTTTATTATTTTAAATTAATACACTGTTCTATATTCTGGATATAAATACCAAAGATTAGAGAAATGTACATCCATATTTAATGTTCAGAAGTCACTCATAATATATATATATATATATATATATATATATATATATATAATATATATTGCTTATTTTATTAACCCTTTCCTTCCCTTCCTTACTAAAAAAATAAGGATAACAATGGGGATGGGATTTTTAAACATAATACATGGCCATTTCCAAATGCTCACATACTTTAAAAATATCCTTAATAATGCTTTCGTTAATCTGATTTTAATCATGAATACTTTCATTGTGTAAATTATATAATGAAGAAGTAGTTTTAGAGACAAAGTAGTTTAAGAATTAAAAAAAAAAACAAGTTCAGAGGACATATTTAAATGTCAAGGTAAAAACAAAAATGTATTTCTGTTTCATTACAACTTGATTAAACTATAGATTATGTTAAAAACTTCATTTTTCCCAATTATAACTATGCCGTGCGATAATAAGTCAAATCAAAAGTTGCTTCCTATCCTTAGAAAGATCAACAATAAGCGAGAACATCCAGTAGTTCAGTTAAATTCTAAGGAATTTAAGTGTTAATAATATATAAGCCTTTATCTTATTTCATGAACATGTATTTAAAACGCCTTTTTCGGAAAAAAAAAGAGTTGAGGCTATTTGGGAATTATTGTCAAATTACCGTATACATGACTCAATAATGCGTTTATTCATGATCTTAAAGCCTGTAAATTTTTTTATTAAATAAGTGAAACATTTCAGTTTTGACAGGAAGAAGAAAATGTTTCTTCTTCCCTGTTTCCAGAAATAAAAAGGTCCTTTATCTGCCTTTGACGAGGAAACAAATTGCCTAGGACATTATTTCAGAAACTTTGCTGATCAATTTTGAAAAACAAAATTTGAAACAATGACATCTTCTTTAATCGCAGAAGAAAATGTATTGCACTCTGACTACTGAAAACAAGCAGAAGAAAAATTGATTATGATTAATTGTATTGTTTTATATACTGGAAAAAATACAGTGCCCCGGACATGTTTTATTTTATCACTTGTTCATAATTTTGTCATGGCTTATTAAGCCTTTACATAGGTAGCAAAATCATTTCTTCAGTTAATTTACATTTTTGTGACATTTTCTTTTGTTGCCAAGTGATTCTTTCCACTAGCAATAGATTATCATAAACACATACAAAAGTGTAATTCTTTTTTATGTAATTATTCGAAACGCTCTAATAAAATGATGATTCATATAGTGTAATTGATTTGTTACTAAGTAATTTAAGATGAAACATCTTAGGCAATGGGGCATATATACTCGTTAAATACACTACATCTGTTGCACGAGGCATGACACATCACCTCCAGTGTCACATTTCTCTGACACTAAGTCAAGTACAATATTTTCATCCCATGTAGAAATCTTAACTATAACTACAAAAGTATAACTATAGTCTGTCCAATTGCGCAATCTAGAAATATATAATAATCATTATGACAGAGAACATACTATTTATAAATGTGTGTAATTTATATTTTTGAATAAAATCAGTAAACTTAAGATTGCAAATGTTTATCGGATTAAATTTGGTTACATGGACGCATGTTTTGCTCAGTACTGGTTGGATCCACAAACGGAGTAAAGTATTAAAGTAGGTTCTTACGTCATCTATATATATCAGAGAAAAATGACCCTATTCGAACTCTATCGGATTTTTAGCTGACGAGTCTACATTGTTTATTTTGCATATATTCTCATCTCTGTTAAGATTAATAGAATTACATAATACCACTAACACACATTTCCTGAAAACCCATTCGTAATGCTTTATATCATTAATGTCTAGCACAGAATGACCAGTTAACGCTACATAAAAATAATCCTTGTTAATGTTTGACAAATGATTGAGTTAACGTTTTCATGTAAAGCTGCATGAGTTATAGTACCTAATTTTGTAATCATGGCCATAGTATGACTTTCTAGTCAACATATTATGCTGACTGAAAATGAAATGAATCTCAAATAATACGGCAAATAATACGGAAAATTAACCCTTTTTCCATAACTTTTATTTTCTAATACGAGTAATCTAAAAGAAATTATAAGTTAAAGGCAATCTATCTAGCTCTTATATATGTCGTTTATGAATCAATATTTTCTAATTATGCTATGTATTATTTATATATTTATATACGTTTGACTCTTTTTGAATATATAAGGTTACAAAAGTATCTCTGAATCATTTACCTGAACCAATAAGTACTGCTCAAGGGAAAAGCAGCCCATGTCTGGGATGTGTATCCAATACACCCAGCAGTCCGTTGATTACAAGTCCCATTTCTCGTAAATGTAACACCTTTTTGAAACTTTAATTATTCGTTAAGATCAATTAAACTCTAATACATTTATTTTTTAATCATAACCACATAGTTAACGCCGTACCAAAGCTACACAGTTAACATCGTATCATCACCGTATCATTACCATATAGTTAACGTCATATCATAACCACACAGTAAACATCGTATCATAACCACACAATTAACGTCGAATCATAACCACACAGTTTACATCGTATCATAACCACACAATTAACGTCGTATCATAACCACACAGTTAACGTCGTAAAATAATCACAAAGTTAACGTCGTATCATAACCACACAGTTAACGTCGTATCATAACCACACAGTTAACGTCGTATCATAACCACAAAGTTAACTCCGTATCAAAACCACAAGGTTAACTTCGTATCATAACCACACAGTTAACGTTGTATCATAACCACAAAGTTAACGTCATATCATAATCAAACAGTTAACGTCGTATCATAACCACACAGTTAACGCCGTATCATAACAACACAATTCACTTCGTATCATTACCACACAATTAGATTCGTATCATGACCGCACAGTTTACATCGTATCATAACCACACGGTTAACGTCGTATCATAACAACACAATTAACGTCGTATCATAACCACAAAGTTAACGCCGTATCATAACCACACAGTTGACGTCGTACCATAACCACAGAGGTAACGTCGTATCATAACCACACAGTTAACTTAGTATCATAACCATAGAGTTATCGTCGTATCATAACCACACAGTTAACGTCGTATCGTAACCACACAGTTAACATCGTATAATAAGCACAAGGTTAACGCCGTATCATAACCACAAACTTAACTTCGTATCAAAACCGTACAGTTAATTTCGTATCATAACCATACAGTTAACATCGTATCCTAACCACACAGTTTACGTCGTATCTTAACCACACAGATAGCGTCGTATCATAACCACACAGTTAACGTCGTATCATAACAACACAATTAACGTCGTATCATAACCACAAAGTTAACGCCGTATCATAACCACACAGTTGACGTCGTACCATAACCACATAGGTAACGTCGTATCATAACCACACAGTTAACTTAGTATCATAACCATAGAGTTATCGTCGTATCATAACCACACAGTTAACGTCGTATCGTAACCACACAGTTAACATCGTATAATAAGCACAAGGTTAACGCCGTATCATAACCACAAACTTAACTTCGTATCAAAACCGTACAGTTAATTTCGTATCATAACCATACAGTTAACATCGTATCCTAACCACACAGTTAACGTCGTATCATAACAACACAGTAAACGTTGCATCAAAACAACACAGTTAACATCGTATCCTAACCACTCAGTTAACATCGTATCATAACCACACAGTTAACGCCGTATCATAACCACAAAGTTAACGCCTTCTCATAACCACAAAGTTATTTTCGTATCAAAACAGTACAGTTAACGTCGCATCATAACCACACAATTAACATCGTATCCTAACCACACAATTTACGTCGTATCTTAACCACACAGATAACTTCGTATCATAACCACACAGTTAACGACCTATGATAAACAAAAAGTTAACGTCGTATCAAAACCACACAGTTTACATAGTATCATAACCACAAAGTTAAAGTCGTATCATAACCACACAGTTAACTTCGTATCATAACCACACAGTAAACTTCGTACCATAACCACATAGTTAACATCGTATCATAAACACACAGTTAACATCGTATCATAACCACACAGTTAACGTCGTATCATAACCACATAATTAACGTGGTATCATAACCACACAGATAACTTCGTATCATAACCAGACAGATAACGTCGTATCATAACCACAAAGTTAACACCATATCATAACCCAACACTTAACTTCGTATCACAACCACACAGTTAACGACGAAATTATAACCACACAGTTAACGTCGTATCATAACCATAAAGTTAACTTAGTTTCATAACCACAAAGTTAACTTTATATCAAAACCACACAGTTAACTTCGTACAAAAACCCCACGTTAAACTTCGGATCATAACAACACAGTTCACCTTATATCATAACCACAAGTTAATGTCGTATCATAACCACACAAATAACGTCGTATCATAACAACACATAGTAAACGTCGTATCATAACCACACAGTTAACGTTGTATCATAACGACAGAGTTAATGTCGTATCATAACCACACAGTTATCTTCGTATCATAACCCAAAGTAAACATCGTATAATAACCAAACAGTTAATTTTGTATCATAACCACACAGTTAACGTCGTATCATTTCAACAAATTTTTCGTCTTATCACAACCACACAGCTAACGTTGTGTCATAATCACACAGTTAATGTCATATCATAACCACACAGAAAACTTCGTATCATAACCACTCAGTAAACGTCGTATCAGAACCACACAGCTAACGTTGTATCAAAACCACACAGTAAACGTCGTATCATAACTTCAAAGTTAAAGTCGTATCATAACCACACAGTTAACGTTGTATCACAACAGCACAGTTACCGTCGTATCACAACCACACAGTCAACGTCGTATCATAACCAGACTTTTAACGTCGTATCACAGCCACACAATTAATGTCGTATCATAACCACACAGTAAACGTCGTATCATAACCACACCGTTAACGTCGTATTTTAACCACACAGTTAACGTCGTATCATAACTAAACAGTTAAACTCGTATCATTACCACACAGTTAAAGTCGTATTACAACCACACAAGTAACTTCGTATCATAACCACACAGTTAACGTCGTATCACAACCACACAGTTAACGTCGTATCATAGCCACACAGTTCGAATCCTTACCACAAAGTTAAAGTCGTTTCATAACCACACAGTTAACATCGTATCATAACTACACAGTTAACGTCGTATCATAACCACACATTTAACGTCGTATCAAAACCACACAGTTAAAGTCGTATCCTAACCACAAAGTTAAAGTCATATAATAACCACACAGTTTACATCGTTTCATAACCACACAGTTAAGGTCGTATCATTTTCACACAGTTAACGTCGTATTATAACCACAAAGTTAACGTCGTATCACAACCACACAGTTTTCGTCGTATCATAACCACACAGTTAACGTCGTATCATAACCCCACAGTTAAAGTCGTATCCTAACCACAAAGTTAAATTCGTAAAACCTGTCCATATTTCTGTTACTTGCTACGATTTTATATTAAACCTGGTTTTGTTAAATGTAAGCGGCAGTCGTGTTTTAAAGTTGTGTATTTGGGGGGGGGGGGTATTTGTGTTTGATTCAGAGTGATATCATTTGGATTTATCAGTCATACACCTTTTTAAAAGAAAGAAAACATATTTGAGGATTGTAACAGACAAAAAATAAAAGTTGATAGATGTGAAATCATTCAAAAAGCAGCTAGGAAAATGGAAAACTTGGAAACTTGCTCAGGGACGCTGGGTAGTTTATTTGTTCTACGAACTAATGGCTTTCATTGCTTTTCAATTTTTTACATAAAGCATACGACAGTTATTGCTCTTAGGATACTTCAATATGCCCAAATGTCATCAGTTGCATATGGAAGGAATGTATTTTTCAGACTGTAAAAATGACACAAAAAAATTGAGACGAAATTTGGTGATTTAAATTTGAATGAATAGAAGTAAGTTTTCTTCTTTTAATTACTTATGATATTTAAGTTATTTATCAATTTAAGCTTTGCTTTTTCTTTAAACAGCATGCCATTGTCAGAATTGTTAGCAAAAATAAAATTTAGGTACCACATGGGGAAAATCTTAAAAAAGTAGTTTCGTCATTGAAAAGTGTGAAATTATATTTTGATAATTTTCACTGTGAAATTATCAAATATAATTTTCACGGATAAATCAGTAATCCAATGAAAAGCATAAAATAAATAACTGATATTATTTTAAATTTTGATAAATAACATTTTTGTACATAAAAATGTTCGGACGGGTTGCCCAAAAGATAACGAGTTGGTCATGATATAGTTGACCAAAGCTGAGTTTATCTGACTTCCCCTACAGTACCTGGCCTAGGGTCATGAATAGTGAACAACAAGTACGTATCATAGCCTTATATAACCGAGTAGAAATAAAACACTTCTGTTTAATACATTTAGAATCAATCCGTACTTGTTGACCTAACAAGAAAACCTCTGTTTCAATTCATATTCACATTTTGAGAAACTAATAAAATTATCTAAATGGTTTATTGATCAAAAGTCAGACTCAAAATATAAAAACTGTATCTATTTCACTTGTAACGTATCTATATTTTTTCTCCAGGTTCATTTAAGGTAACTATGTAGTTTCAATTGTTTTAAACTCAAACCTATACGTCCCAGACTTTAAGGTGCCATCATGGGTGATCACAAAAATGTCTGAGTTTTTTATTAATGTTTTAAAGTTCTCAAATTCTGTTTCTGGTTTTATATCACAACCTTCCAGACATACTGTCACTGTATGTGGTAGTTTATTTATAACAGTTATGAGATCAACAGAAATGAGATCATTTAACACTGTACAAGACATTGTTATATAATACAAGGCTACAAGTTCAATGTTGGTCATTTTAGGTGAAAGTTTTAATGACTTTTCACCTAAATTGATTCCATACAACCAAACTTCTTTCATGTAATGTAACAATGGTAAAGTTTTCAACATTGTTTCTATGTCACAGGACGATTTTATATGCTGACACATTAATGTGTGTAGTTTACTGGCTGCAGGTAGTCGACTGAGAAAAGATGACGCATCACCAGGTTGATGTAATTCACCTACAGTACATTGCTCCAACAAGGATGCATCCATGTTAATTTTTGACACAGGTATTCGGGTCAATCCTAAATATCTTAGATGTAAATGTTGAGATAGGTCCAGGTTGAATCTACATGAAATATCATCTGTATCATGATCACTACATTTCAGTTCATACAATATTATTTCTTTCATTGACTTTTTGCTAGTGAGGAAAATTAATAATCTTTCCATTATCTCGTGGGTCATAGTGAAATAGGTTAAACATAAATACTCCAGGTGTTGTAAGTTTTCCAGTCTGTCATTTATCTCTGCAGACAGCCGGCAATATTTCGCATGAAATGCATGATTTTTATATTTACATGATCTCATAGTGAAACATTTTAAAGTATTAAATAACAAGCTCGTTATTTCGTCTTCTTCTTCTTCTTTAATTTCTCCCTTATAGTAAAATTTCTCTATAAGTGGAAAGTCAGAGAGTGCAAACAATTTGATAATTTCTTGAAGACTATAAATATCTACATTTCGTATCATTATTGATTTTATGTTTTCTTTATTTTGCTGACACAAATGTTGTAATTCCTGACATTGTGCATTGTCACTGATTCTGAAATCTTGTAAATACAATTTTAGGTTTATGTTTTCCTTTGTTTCTATGGCACAAGAAATGTACATGTCTTGTATATCCTGTAACACAGGCATGTGATTAATATCTGTATTAGTTCTGTATTTGCCTGTTTTTTCATCATTGTTTATCATCGGCATTAAATCTCTTGATATTGCAGACATTAATTTTGGGTTCATATTACTGATGAAGACAAACACTTTTGACATGTTTAGAATATTTTGTAAACAGTTGCACTCTTCAAAGATGATTTTTTGAACTTCATTTGTATCTTGAAAGCTTATAAAGCTTATAAATATAGCTGAAAAGTATTCTTGCACTGTTTTATGTGAAAATGAAATTTTAAAACTTTCAGCTATTAATGTTTTCGTTTTGCTTTCTGATAACATTCCTGCTAGACAACTTGACTTCAAATCTTCCTGGTTAAGATATTTTTCAGCAATATTTTTATCAAAAACTAATGTGTGCTCCTTTATCTTACTGAACAATGTATAAAAAGCTAATTTCCCTATCTTCAAAAGAAACGTGGAGTAACAAGAGCAACGTGTATGGTTTTCGAAACATTCAGGAATATAACTTGGGGATATTTCACACGATGAATGGAACTTTCCATGTAGCGTTGCTGTTCTAGAAAGAAGGAGCTCAATTATGCCTGTATAGATTTCAACAGCGGAATTTCCTATTGGAAATTTGTAAACCCATAAACATATAAGATAGAGTAAAAGGAGAGGCGTAGATTTCATATCTTCAAGGCCATGGTTTCTAATTTTCTCTTCAAATGCACAGAGTTCATCTTCTTCAGTGTCGTCTTTCAATATTCCCATTGCATTGTGGCTAAATTGCCGTACATCATCTTTTTTAAGTTGAACTAGCTCTATTGTTTTGTGTATTTGATTTGTTTTCAAGTTTGAGACTCCAAGCTTCCATGGCCGGGTCGTGGTTAAGATAACACATTTTTCACGTTCATATTGATGTGGAATACTTTTAGGGAGTTTTGTACACTTGTTTTCAGGATGTGACCATTCATCAAGTCCATCTAATATAACAAGGCATTTTTCATGATCTAAAATGTCCTTCAAAAGACCTTTTGGCATTGAAGATGAGCAAGGAAGGTATTGTATGACTTGTTGTTCAATCATATCGTCAACATCACAGACGTTAACTGAATCTCTCAATAGAACTAGAAACAAAAACTTAAAGTCAGACAAAGCATCTAATTCTTTTTCTTTAAAATGCTTATAGCTTTCATCCTTTTTATGAGCTTGACACCACGTTATAGTGAGATATTTTGAAAATGCTGTTTTCCCGAATCCAGCTATCGCTGATAAATATATTTTCAGTTGACGTTTTCTATCCGATGCAAACAGGTCGAGTAATGACTTGACTCTAGTTGTTACTTTCTTTCCACCTGAGAGATTCGTTTGTATGTCAATTTCTGGCAAAATATAGAACCCAGCTAGAGGTGTATGGGAATCATCTGTTAGTGGTGAAAGAGGAACTGTACTCTGATTGGCGTTGTACCATGTTATCAGTTGATCCTTGAGTTCTAAAATAGAAATTATTTATATATTATAACTGATTGTAACACATTCCTATTCAATTTTTAGGGTTTTTCTTGAATATACAAGAAAAGACACTAGACAAGCTTGCTATCATTAATTCTTACATTACTTGCGAAAGAAATTCGTCATAAGTTCATAAGAAAGAGACATAATTAGAAATCATTAATAAATAAAGTTTGAAAAAAAAAACATGTTACCAACCATCATTCTGACAATAGCCTAAATTACATATGGGCAAACACAAGATCAATGAAAACGCTACAAACTGTATTCGTCTGTTTCTTTTTTTAATTTAAAAAAAAGACGAATACAGCAAAAATTGAATTATCTGAAAAATATTAACTTTACTTTATACAAAATATCTTAATAATACTTTTTCTGTATTCATTGAAAATCTCATTTTTCTCTAAAATCTTTTACAAATTAAAACCATTGTCTGGTAGCTTTGGTCTTTAATAAATTTGCTTAGAAAAAATGCACAAGATCAACTGTTTAACCATTATATTATAAATATAACAGCTATTGTTATTGAGTAAGAAATGTCATGTCTATTCTCAAATAAAATTAGGAACTGATTGATAAATCCCAGTGAAATATAATCAATAGTGATTGAATTATGAAACGAAACAAGAATATCTTTTTAAATATTATTTATTTAGCCTACACATTTCTATGTTGTCGCATTGAACATTAATTCATTTATAAATAACAGACAGATGTACGGACAGAAGCCATTCATATAATCCCCCTTCTTCTCTGCTGAGGGGAAATAATTAGTGCCAATCATGACTTTTGTGAAATAATTTTTATAGAGGATATTGCATAAGAGCTATAGTAGTTACAATACTGAAATTATTAAACGAGGTGAATAAAATTATATCACCCGAGTCTCTGGGATGTGGAGGGCGTTGCCAAAATTCCATTCATGTAAATTGTTCACTTTGAACACTACATTTGAAAATGCTAACGTGTATGTTTATCATTATTCACTGTATCTGTGACCTGCAAATAATATACCTCTTAATTCAAGCTTTCAATTTGAGGTTCCCGTTTTTAAACAACTAGTTTAAATGAAAACACAGGAATGAAGATTTTTTTGTTAAACACAAATGTCCGTGGTTGAAATTCTTATCAGTTACAATATTTCAAAACATTTTACCCAATTACTCAGTTATGGACTAAAAATGCCCAACAAATTGTAAACATAGTTTATAAAGTTTAACATAGATAAATTAATTGACAGTCATGGCATTTTGAAATTGTGAAAATATAAGTTGGCAAGCCATTGGTATGGCTTGTGCTGAAGTTGAAACATATTCAGCTTTATCAAAGATATACAAATGTAAAACTTTATCTTGTATTCAGTGCCTTAAACACTATCCAAAATTAAAGGACCACCTTAGGTATGTTCCTTGTGAATATGAACTATTTGTTAAAAGAAACGTGTATAAAAAGTGAAAAAATATATTTATAGCACAAGTAACATTGACATTGTGAAACCAGGAACTGGAACATCCAAGTTATTGTCAATCCAATGTATTAGGTAAAAATCTATTTTTTGGCACTTTTTACCATAAACAACTGACTTATAATTCAATTCGTAGGAAGAAAACCCTGCAACAAATCTTCCAATTAGAACTGAAAGACATATGTCCATAAATAAAGGCTGTATGGACAAAATGTGAAAATTAATTTTTAGCACAGATGACCTCCATCCAACCGACCCCATCATAAGGATGCAAATTATCAATCTTTCAAATATGAAAATGTCAGTCTAAAATTAAAGGCTGAATCAACAAATGTGTAGAATATATTATTTGGACCAATGACCTACCCCCACTGACCTCTAAATCAATCGAAAGGAAGCATACCCATCAAGTTATCTTCCTACAAAATAAGAATGACATATGTCCATAAATGTAGGATATATGGACAAAAGTGTAAAAATCTATTTTAGCACTGTTAGCATTGACCAAACTGACGAATAATTCCATCCAAAGGAATAAGATCATCAGTTATCATCTTACCAAATATTAAAATACAATAAAGAATAAAGACTGTATCACAGTTGTGTAAACATCTTTAATTGGCAACCTTGACCCACTGAACCCCACCAGAATCAAAAGGAAGAATATCATGCAATTTATCTTCCTTCCGAATATTGAATATATCTATGGGCAAAAGTGTGAAAACCATTTTTTGTACGGGTGACATGGACCTTATTGACATCAAACTCAAGACAAAAAAATACTATGCATATTATCATTTTACCAAATATTAAATACGTCAATAAATAACTGTATGGGCAAAATAGTATAACTATAAATTGTATAATTTTTCGCTCAAGTGACTTTGACCCACTGATCGCCACCTCAATCAAAAGGGAAAATATCACTCAAGTTAAGAAATGTTGAACGGCATATATGCTGCCCATTTCAGCCATTGACATATTCTATTGGCAATAATGTTATAGAAACATGCCATTAATAGATTTCATCATACATAATGAGCGGAAAATATTTGACATATCAAGTCACTTAGACCTTGAATTTTGACCAAATAACCCCTCACAAATGATCATACCAACTTCGACTTTAGTTAAGAATTACTATTAAACAGCTATTAGTTGCAAACCACTTGTATATTTTAGGATACCGTGCTATTGACCTTTGACCTTGTGACCTGAAATCAATAAAGGTCATCATCTAGTAATGGCCAATCAATATGTGAAATGTGAAGACTTAATGATATATATCTTTTAAGATAATGAACGGAAACCATTCCGCAGTTTTACGCCCCTAAAGCTCATTTACTAGTTATAACCAACAAATATGTAATTTATGAAGACTTAGTAACTAATTGGTGTCAAGAGAATAAGCGGAACTAATTTAACATTCAGGTTATTGCGACCTTGACTTTGACTTTGATTAGTGTTGATCAGCAAAAATTAAAATATAACCAAAGACTTTATAACAAGCAGTTTTGAGGAAAAATAAGAAGAAACCATCCTGACATTTCAGGTCCCTTTGACATTAACCTTTGCCCTAACGATCAAAAAATCTATATGAGTCATCAACTAATTATAACCAATCAACATGAGAAATATCAAGGCTAAGTAATAAATGATTTCCAATGAGCGAAAAACCATTGTAAAATCTTAAGCCCCTGTGACCTTGATCGTTGACTAGTGACCAAAAATCAATAGGGATAATTCACTATTGAAACATATGTCTAATCAGTATCTATAACATGAAGACTTTGTGACAAATAATTTTTTAAGATAATCATTGGAAACCATTCTGATATTAATGACACCTATGACCTACCTTGTCCTTTTATTGACCCAAAGTCAATAGGATACATCTACTAATTATGACCAGTTAGAATCTCAAACATGAGGATTTTGTGATAAACAACTTTTAGGATGGTCAGCGGAAACCATGCAGTTCATCTACGGACGGATATTAAATAATAAAGGTCCCTTTTGCCTTGACCTTTGTCTTGAAGACCAAACATTGATTGGGATCATCAAATAGTTATACCAATTAATATGTGAAATATAAATACTAAGTGATAAATACTTTTTAAGGTAATGAGCCAAACCGATTCTGGCATTAAAGTCCCCGTGACTTTGACGTATGAACAAGGATCCTAAAATCAATAGGGATCATTAACTACTTATGTCTACTCTATATGTGAAATATGAAGACTTTGTGATAAATTATTTTCAAGATAATGAGCCGAAACTATTAGAGGTCCCTGTGACCTTTGACCTTGTGACTTATAATGACCAACCAGAATGATAAATATTACGACAGTGTGATATATGATTTTTAAGATAAATATTACTTTAAACGTTTATCATTTTCATGAATAAGCGCCCAATGCGCCAAAATAATCTCCATGCATATTCTTGTCATACCCCTGGTTCTCTGTCCAAATTTGGTTCCCGTCATTTGAATAAGGACCGGCTCATTGACAGAATTTTTATAGGGTAACTTAAAAAAGGATAAAAAAAATATTATATTCAAACATGTCACACTCAATTAAGTTAAACATTTATTTTTATTCCTTTAAGCTCGGTAATATTGTACATAGGAAAAGCTTTCTTGTTGGAAAATCTGAAAACAGTGTAATTTTGTTGATTCAAGAACACAGAAGATACGCACAAGCAAAACTAATATATCCCCATCGCTGGCTGATGAATACTTATGATATATTTGCCGAGATAATGATTTCAAAGTGTGAATTTTTAAATCTTTTCCAAGTAAAAGGGGGATATCTGTAAAAAAACATCTGACCATAATTAAACTGTAACATGACTTGTATTTTCAGGTATAATTGCACATGCGATATCAACTTTATACAAAGATTTCCACAAATTTAGAGCGCAGAAACTGACAATTTCAAAAAGGAAACAAATCCTACATTAAGAGATAATTATGTCCAAAATAAACAAAACATGGCAAATATAAACTCAGCCTGCTTATGACTAAGATGTATCTCTATATGTAAATTTGAGTTGAAAGTGTACACTTGTTGGGGAGATAATAAACGGTAACTAAAATATCTTATTTTTTTTGTCAAAGTTCAAGAGAGATAACTTTGTCAAAAATCATCAAACGTGTCAAATTCGAGTTGAATGTGTACAACTGATTGGGAGATAATGAACGGAAACTGAGATTTTCTTCTTTTTTCAAAGTAAAAGCAAAGTCTGTCAAAAATCATTAAACCATGACCAAAATCAAGCTTGACTTGCATATGTTATGACTGAATTTGAGTAAAATTTGTACAACTGTTTTGGAGATAATGAACGGAAACTGATTTTTAAAGGACATTTCTCTGCCATAAGTCATGAAACAATGACAACATTTAAAATTGACTTGCGGATTTCTTTGACGTATCCATGTGTCAGATTTTAGTTGAATGTGTACAAGCGTTAATAAGATAATGAACGGACACTGAAAATTCCATCAAGGGGCAAAACTCTGTCAGAATTAATCGTACCATGACAAAATTCGAATTTTGCCTTCAATTTTTAATTACATATCTATATGTCAGATTTGAATGGAATGTTTGCAGCTGTAACCAAGACAATAAACAGAAACTGATGATATAAAGGCTCATTTCTTCACCCTTAACTATGGACATTGTCCAACTGTCATAGCTGTAAATCAAACGACATGAAAGTATGTCACTTCTTCAAATTATCTAGGTTAGCTGATAAAAATGAAATAGTTTAATCTTACATTTGAAACAATGCATGTGATAGGACACAAATAATGTCCTTAGCCCGCTCAAAAAGTGTGAACTGTGGAAGGCTCTCTGCCCTGATCTATAAAGAATTGTTAGAACAACTTAAGGTGGAAAAAATAGGGGCCTTGCCCCGGTCCCTCCCCAATTATACCGCCCCTATGTTCTCTCAACAAGAGGGCGCATGGGGATTATTATAAGAAAGCCATGAAAGTGAGTGAGGAGGGGTGGGGGTAACTCACTATCTATGCCCGCTCCCCCGTTTCCAAAAGTTTACTTGAGCACCGCAAATTACTCATTTAATATCACAAAACATCTTTTAAAATATTTTATTAAAACATTAAGAACATTTACTTACTTTTTTTCCACTCTGCATATTGAGAAAGTCGCATTGATTCTGTCTCTGCTGTATCATCTACATTTAGAAATAAAATATATTGAATATAGATATATGCAGTAAGAAGCTTAACTTTAAAAAATATTATCTGCATTTGAATTAATTTATTTATCACATGAAAGGTCTGGTTCCGTGAAAAATAAAGTAATCAAAATAAATTGAAAATAGCAAAGGTTGAAAAGGTGAGTTTTAATGGTATTGTTATAAGAATATTTAAAAAAAAAAAGAATTATATTGTTATGAGAATATTTTTAAAAAATGGCCGTTTTCACTGAAAAGCCTCCTTTTACAAATTCAAACTGCTATGAAAAAATGCTTCAATACTGATGAAACTTTCTTGGTAATGAAGGGGCTGCCATTTCGAATGTATAAATAATAATCAAAGTTATATGCGTAAATGCTTTAATTGTAATGATGACAGAAGATGTTGTAAATTATATTGATATATATAAGCCGTTAAATATTATTACCGTGTTTCATTGTTGAATTTAAAATAGTTTTCAAATTATTAGTTTTGAAAATATCTATTAACACTTCCAAATATTGAAATAAAAAGATCGCCTGTCATAATATGGTAATGTTAAGACCGTCAAAAATGTACCCTTTTTAGGTTCTTCCTTTAACTTTAATTCCTGTATTTGTTAATCATGTTCAAACGTCCTCCTGTTTAATTCATCAATACTCTGTGCCTGACTATCTACAGAATGTTTTATGTCCTTTGTGTCCTCTTTTATAAGTTTTAATTCAGCTTCAACACTTTTTTCTAACATTTGCCAACTGTCTATGGCCTTCTGTACTCTTCTCTCTGCCTCTGGATCAAGTGGACTTACTTTAAAGTCATCAATGGTCTTTTGAAGATGTTGAATGGGAGTCGTCTTCGAGTTCAACCTCAAAAGAACCTGGAAAAATACACAATTACTAACATCAATGTCCATACCAAATCTTATACCAAAACATACATTGTATATGAACGACTGTACACTTGAACTTCTATCATGTTTATCATAGCCTGTGTTACTGCATATAATGCTTAATGTTATAATCTCTCTGTTGTGTTATGTTTGTTACTTACAGACAATATTATCTGCTATTTACACCTCCTCAAGAAAACCTTGCACGAGACAAGCCGCAATCTTTAAGTTAAGCATTAAATGAATTAACTTTGATCTAAGTATAACATGATATAGCCGTTCTAAATACAATACTAGACAATATCAAATGTATTTGATTAAAAGAAAATGATTTCGGAATATTTTCATCTATTAAAATAATAAGTCTGCTTAAGATGATTTTCTTACATAAAACTGTATGTATATTACCCTAAAAATTATTTTGGAAATTTATTGATCAGATCAAATGACTTCTTAAAGTACTTATTAATAAACACAATTTTTATAAAGAAATAAAAGGGGCCATGCGATTAATTTCTTATCGTGTTGAGCCTTTATTTGTAAATTGCCGATTCGTTATTTGACTAAACTTTTTGATTGCCTGTAAAGTAATTAAATTACTTTCAGAACTTTATTATTATGGTATATAACTTAGCACGAACATAAAATTTTATACACAAAACTGAAGGAATGAGATATAAATGAACGATATAATACCATCCTAACCTGTTCGATCTCCGTCCACTTTTTTGTGAAGATATTCGGTGTAATTCCACTTGTTGAAGATATATGACTTAGCTAATTAAAGTAAAAAATGTAAAATATATTGGTGTCAAATGAAAAGTTGCAAGGAGTGACATAAAAGAGAAAATGTTATGTAAGCACCGATGACTTAATCTCAAATTATATAGCCACTCTTAGATATATGGCATGTAATGGAAAAGTTTCGTAGTTAAACTTAATGTTTTAGACACCATGCATCTGAAACATAATTTTACTACATAAGTTATTAATTAGTCAAACAAAATATATAAAAAAAAAACATTATTGATTTTTTTCTTAGAAGTTTTAGTTCTAAAATCGACTAGCTATTTGAGCAGAAAGACTTTTTATACGTTATAATTTAAACTTCATGTAATGAAACTTATTTTTGTTCACAACAAGATGTCACAAGCTCTCTAACCATTAAAACCTAACTGTCTAATGATCTTATTCTCATTTACCTCGTTCCTGTACATTGTCAGACGAAACATATCAGCCTCAATTGAAGTATCACCTTGTGCAGGATTTGAGTTCCACTGGAAATTCTTATTCATACCAAATGACTTGAAGTTCCTAAGCAGAAACATGATTAACGTGACGTCTAGGTCGGTGGTGGAGGGACCACTGCCGCCTGATGGAAACAATACATCATATTGTACTTGTGTTATTCTTCCTTTTGCTCTTAGATTGGTTAGTTTTAACCTTTTTTGTTGTAAAAATGTGCTAAGGCTTAGAGAGGAATTTTGAAGTTTCTTATCCAAAATATTCCTTAGTATCAGTAGTCCTCCGTCTATAATCAGCATTTGCAGACGAAACAGGTGGCAACGATTCTGCTCCGCACATGTCGACGAAGTTTGACCTATACTTGTGGTTGCCATTTTCTAAGTTACCAAATCATCCCTAGTATCTGTAACAATATAATAATTCTGATCGTTAAATCAAAAATAAAACCCGTCCTATGACTATTTCAATATTAAATGTTGACTGCTTCCAAACAACTGTGATATAGATAAACAGTTAATAGTTTAATATAAATTCAAGTATTATGCATACTTTTATAATTTCTCACCAAACCAAATTAATAAATAAACCAAATATATAGAAAATTTAAAATATTATTTAATGTATCTATAGTAAATCATGGTAAATAATTAGTGTTCATAATGTAAACAATCAAAGTCTTAACGCAAATAAAGTCTATAAACTGTTGTTGATTGAAATTTATAAACTTTAAATTTATTGTTCGATATATATGGTAGATTTTTTATTTTGGATTAGCAGGGGAACAAGGCACACCAAGGCACAGACCAAAACCCGACGTCGAATCGACGTCAAAATGAAACGTCTGTTAGACGTCGTGGACGCAACGTCGGTGAACGTTGTATTGAAGGTCGCCGACGTCGTCACAAAGAAAAGATCAGGATCAGGATCAAGTGATCCTGATTTTATTTTCATACTAAAACTTATCGTATTTGGCTATTATTAAAATACACATATTCAAAATGTAACAAAAAACTGATTTGCATAGAAACCAACCTAATTGCGGATAATATCAAAGAATTACAAAACAAATGCAAAAATAATCGGATCAAATCTATTTTTGGATCAACTGTAAAATGCCCGTATCTTGCAAAAATAACAATAAATTTATTCTAAAATTGCATAAACATGTTATTTCATGCCAAGCTTTATCAAGTTAAATTCAAATATTAAATCTATAATTATAAACAATGGGGAATATTTTAGTTTTTTTTTAAATTTGATACTGACCTTGATACTGATCCTTAAATCTTGGTGAACATTGGGCCTCGAGTCAACCAGAGCCCCTCCCCACAAGTATACCCCTTCCTGATGAAAAAGGCGCCCGCGGGGTGCCCAAGAAATTCCGCCCCCACCCCGAACCTATGGAATGGACCTGAAGGAGAGCATAGGAGTCTCTGAACCCCCGCCTTACTAAAAGCAGTTTTTTTTGTTATTATTTATGGGATACATTAGGATTATTTTATGCTACATACGTCTGACTACATGAATATTGATGGAAGATTGTTCGACTTAACCCAAAATAGTTAAACATTTACAGTTAAGTTCCCACTAATCTTCCCACCCTTGATTTTATTTATTAGGTTTTAAAAATTAAATCACCTATACTAGGCTATTGTCAGATTACCGTCCAAAACCCGACGTCGAATCGACGTCAAAATGAGACGTCTGTTAAACGTCGGGGATTCAACGTCGGTGTAACGTTGTATGAAGGTCGCCAACGTCGCGATCAAGTTTCAACGTTGATCCAACGTTGTGTCAACGTCGGGTGTTTACTAGGTCACTGTAATTCAAAGACTCATTGCTGTTTCCTGGTACATCTTATAAGAATGATATATGCTTTTAATAGATTAACAATTTTGATTAAACTATTAAGTTATTATATTCTTGTCTTTGAAACTATGAAATATTAATGATAAACAGAAAAAATCCTACATTATAATTGAGCTTATCTTCCTCACGAATTTATTAAACACGCTTGTTTGTTGAAATTTTATTTATTTTTGACAAATTATTTATAACCCTTTAAAGTTCTTAAAATAAGAAAAGGATGGATCTCTGATCGTTTGAAAAAGAAGCCAAAGATTACTAGATATTTGATATTTGATTTTTCATTTGCCTTTGTTTGCACCATTATACATGTTTTTATCCGATATCCCATAGTGATATAATGTCATAAATGCAATGCAGAACTAAAGACATTTTATACTTGAATTATTAAATTAATTTTGAATTTTCTACTTTTTAACTACACTGTTAGCGGGTTAATAAAAAGTTATGGATGTTTTCAGATCCTTTGGAACTAATGAGATGAATGAACATGTACCTGTACATCGGGGAAATGGTTTGAAACAACAATTACAGAACACGTTTTTCGACCAAATAACCATTCTTCCAGATGAGCCCTGCATCATTTTGAAAATTCAAGTGGTCTAACGGACCAGTTGCCTGAAAAAATAGGTGGTCATTGCCAAAATCAGGTGGTCTCGGACCAATGCGACCACCGCCAATGTCGAAGCCTGCGAATTGGGGGATATATGGCCTTTTCATGAATATAAATAAGGACATTTTAAAATTAGCAGTTTTAACATTTAAGTTGATGTTAGCATGTTAAAGCTTAAAGTTAAAATATATATATTTTTATTCATTTTAATCATATTTTTATTAACCAACATAAACATTTTTTTAAGCTCAAACAAAACAAGGAAAGGTTTATATTTCAGGTAAAATATGATTTTTATAATATATAACCTGAAGACAATTCCTTATGTTCAATATTGAAAGAGAATATAAAAACATTGATTTTAAAACAATAGATATACTGTGATGAATTAATATTCAACTGTGTAATGCTTGCATAATTTTTAACGATATAAATGATTAAAATATCATATTATCCATAAAAGAAATACATTCGATAGCATAAATAATGATTTCAATATTAAAAATCTAATGTATAAAGGACATACTTTTATAAAAGAGGAAAAAGTCATGCTGTGTACTGGTATTTTTCTGAGAGCGATTGTTTTCATTATACCGGTCTTCTGCTAATGAATTTGGAATTTTCTAAAAACATTAAATGGTTAAAATCTCGATTAAAATTCATATCGGTGTTAGCTATTTTAGAAAGACTTCATACAAATATGTATCCACATTTTTTCCAGGTATGAAAGTGAAATATGTATGTTATATATTGATATATTGGAGTATCGCTGATATTTATCATCTGATATCGATGTATCGTCAATATGCTTTTCTATGAATCAATGACAGCTCTAGGAAAGTCTCAAGTCATGCTTTGTATTGTATTTTTCTGAGAGCGACTGTTATACATAGATAAATGATTTTTGTATAATCAAATATAAAAATAATCATAATTGCATAAGTGCATATAAGATAGTATTGTCATCATCGTCCATGAAGTGGAATTATCTAATATTTCATTAAAAACTGGTTTTAAATCAATATTAGTGTTAGCTATACTACAAAATTCTGGAAACAAAGTGATCCCTCGGAAGCATTAATCACAACAAAATAACATAAGAATTGCAGACTCGGTTTGATTGAGTCTGTACATGAGGGATAATGGAAATGTGCAACATCCCTCACGCCCCCTAGCACCGGCTTGAGCGGAACTCAATTCTCAACACTTTATAGTGCTGGCATCAATGATCCCGAAGGACCAGAAAATATAACAACACTGAAGTGAAGTACGGGGCAACTTTTTACGGCTGCCACACGGCACTTGACACCTGCTGTTGTGAAGTACAAAATTCTGGAAACAAAGTGATCCCTCGGAAGCATTAATCACAACAAAATAACATAAGAATTGCAGACTCGGTTTGATTGAGACAAAGATACAAAGATACAAAGACCTCATATAAATTTTTATCCACATTTCTTGCCATTCTGCATTAAAATTTGCAGTGCCTTTTAATTTCTGAACTGGGAAATGTTTAACTTTTCTATAACAGATTTGACAAATTTGCCTTGACAGTTTTAACACATTAAAAACATAATACATATTAAAGAAAATATTCAAATACATGATTTTAAAACTTTTGCAACTTACTTTTCACTTTTATGTATATCTCTTTTTTTAAATGACACATAATACAAGAACAGAAAACAGTAACAGAAGAGTAAAGTGTCAAAAGTCATGCTGTGTATTGGTGTTTTATATTGTACCCTGCTGATAAGAGAGCCCCTAGGGTAAATAACATATTTTTAGCAGATGATAAATTTAAGTAGGCATTGTAAATACCGTATTCTCTGGATGTTGGTGCAATAGATTCATTACAAGTAGTACAAAAAACTTAAATAATTTAAAACCTAAAAAAAAAATTAAAAGGAAAAATAAAACCAGTTGTCGTCTCAAAAAATGGAATTGAAAGATTTTCTAATCTTTTGTTAATATCCAGGTCAGTTTAAGTATACTTGTGTCCCACGGGCACATATCAATACTTTATCCACACAGATCAATATTTAATCAACATTTCCTTCATACCACTATAATATATAAATATTTATTTTCAGAATAACATATATCATTTATATAGATCGTATGTGAATCTCAGTTTGAGAAGGTAAGAGAGATAATAAGATAAAATTGACAAAATTTAGGCCAATTATAAACATAATTATACCTAATTAATTCTTATTAAAGGCTATTAATGCTTTTAATCATAAACTTTAACTAAAAAAACCATAAGGTAAGATCAGAAGAAACTTAGTGGTATAATTTGCTCCCCCCCCCCTCCATCCCCCCAGAAAATGATCTTTTGTCAAATTAGCATTTTAAGGTTTCATATATCATTACCATATTATGATAAAATAGAATCATGTTAAATATCAATTAAGTTTGTTTATTTATTTGCACTTATCAATATTTAATTAATAATTATTTATATTTACTTAATAAATTTTAACTATTAAGTTTTCAAGTACAAAATCAGTAAATTTTTTTACTTGAAAAAATATTGTTCTAATATTATACACCATACTTTACAAAAACAAATATTCACAACTACAAATTTATTATGAAAAACTTTTATACAGATATCTATTTTCTTTTGTAAAAGTCTAATAGCTATACATTGAAAGAAAAAGTGACTGCTTTATGCATATAATAGGGTCTAGTGCACTTCAAAAAGCACTTATGAAGTGCACTTCAAAGTGCACTTTGAAGTGCACAAGTAGTGCACATTAGTGCACTCCAAGGGCACTTTGCGTAACCTTTAGTGTGAACTCAACTGTAGCCTAAATATGTCCTTTTTTCATTAATATTATAATATTTACATTATATTTGAAATGTGTAGAAAAGTTGTACAATAGAAGTTGTATCATAAGTTGATAACCTTTGGGTTAAAGATGTGTCAGAGCTAAATCGTATACGTACGTGCAGGTATTAGTTACTTGCACTCCAGAGCATGCCCATTGATTGGCTCATTTTTGCTGGGGTTTACTTATTATGGCGGAAAAGTCGGGAATTCGACAAAAATATCATATTCAGATTTTCGTTCATTGAGTTTCATATTGTGACAAAGTGTTTTTATGTTTGACTATGATACAAAAGAGAAAGAATCAAAACACTCAGCAATCTGATTAATACTCGTGGGCTACGCCCCCTCGTACAAATCAGAAAGCCTCGTGTTTAGATGCTCTTTCTATTATATGTTAGCTATTTATTGTTTATTGCAAAGGGGAGAGTAGATTAATCACTTTGTTGATGTTGTATATTCAATTTGTTTCATTTTATAGGAGGTTAAAATTTATGTAAAATTACCCCTTATTTAAGTGTTTGGTGCGATTTCTTGAATAGCTAGGTATCATATGAAAATTGTTTAGCATTTTTTTCTTACTGAAATAATTTGTGTACTTCAAAGTATCTAAATATAGTTATTGATTAATAAGGATGAATTGGATTGAGTTTGTCTACTCTATTACAATATATTAGAGGTTAAGTATTAGGTTTAATTTATTTATCTCATAGTCGAGTTAGTTACATTATTAAGAAAGGATGGGCCAAATAGGGTGAATACTGAATGGGTTTAATAAAATTAAACAGGTGGCAAGCGACTTATGTTAAGAAACTGGGTCCCGATTAACCTGTTGTCATGAATTTATATAAATATATACTTAGGTGATATTTGAGTAAAATATATTATATTTTGAATTAAATAATTTATGGGTTATATATTTTCATATTAACTGAGGGCGACACGGGCACATTAAAAGTTTGTACCTCATAATTTGTTAGTTTATTTTCACTCTAGAATGAATATCTTCAGAGCCCTTTATACATGATTGTTTTTTGGAGGATTTAAAATATTGCCTATACTAAATCCAATCCCCACTGATCCAATGCTGCCAATCAGTCCCCGCATCTGGGACGCATATTGAGAGCATATAGGTGGTCAGAACCATATCTCACTCCACAAAGAAGGCAAACTGGGTCCATTTTCTCAATATACTGACCCATACTGCTCGGTACTTGGATTGTGTCCGGCCTTTGCCGGCTAATAATTTTATAAATTGGGGGGTTATTACAATATTTTATTTGTCGTTTAATGCCTGCTTAAGTGTTTACGTGTTAAATTATGGGAAGACTGTTATACGTTTGGTTCTGCCATTTTGTTAAAACATGTTTGCGTATTATTAAATACACTTCAGTGGGGGAGAGTGGTATATAGGTTATGCTACACTGCTGGTGTTAAGGCCTGCCTTGGCCGCTATGTCCGCCTGTTTGTTACCATAGATACCTATATGTTCTGGACACCAAAAAGTGGTTACCTGTTGCATACAATTTAGGCATTTATTACATTATTGAAGTCAGAACCAAATTAAATTATTCTAAATTTTGAATTTCCATAATTAATTTCGAGATATTTTGTTCAGGGTAAACCTGTAGGTCTATGTGTAAGAATATGCATGTTTTTTTTTGTTTAAAATAGATTTTAATATGTAGATTATAATTAACACAACAAAATGTGTTTTCAGTTGTGTTTTGATAAAAAAACTTGATTAAGAAAGTCGTTCTTACCGTAACGCATCCGATAATTTCCGCCACCATTTTTAGAATATATTGTTATCCGTAATGGGGCGTATTTTTAGAAATATAAAGACAAGTTTATATGACTATAAAAGTTAGATGTAAAAGTTTATTAAAAAAGACAGAGAGAAAACGAGTGTCAAAATTAGCAAAATGTAACCCAAAATCCATTTGGAAAAAATGTGAGAACGCAATTCAGACAACCTACTATAGATCATAGTAACATAAGTATTGATGATATGTATGTACATCTTAATAGCTTGCACGGTTCTTCACCACTGTATGATCATTGAAATGCAATGTGAATAATCCTGACATGATTTATGTGTCAAACTGGAACATGCTGACAATTAAAGCATGCAACAAAGGATTATTTAACAATTCTTAATCAGTAAAACATTACATAATTTTATATATATGGTGGACAGACATAGGATGTCATCCTTATTAATGCACTTTATCAAAAACCATGAGAAGAATTTTTTTGTATACAGAAGGATCAGATTTTGTAACAGTACAAATGGGTTCGTGTTTTGTTTTCTAAATAAAACACAGATTAATGTATGTTTATGACTGGTATATATCACCACTTGCTTCAAGAATAAAAGAAAAATAACTTCTCAACACTTCGAGTTACAGTATTTTTCTCGGGATGATAGTTTATTGTTAGCCACAAACCCATATGTTATTTATATATTGTAAATATTGACTCTGACAAATTGTTTTTATAGATTATGTTTTTAAATGAAAGTCTGGGGTTTTATTTAGTGAGATAAAATCCCATATCATTCATAGTGCTGTTACCAAAGCTTTTACCATTTTTTACTTTTTTTCTTGGCGAATTTATTTATGTTACCGTAAAACTCCTTATAAATATATTGTGTATGTTTGTTATGTAGAATATATTTCTGATTTCAATGGCAAATACTACCCTAAAATAATAAAACAAATTATCACAATGATTATAACCTTGAACCCGGACAAAAACAACCGCTTTATCATATTTCTACTCTACACAACACTTAGGAAATGAACTGAAGAAAAATTATAAGTTCATCTATTCAAACGACTTTTGATATATTGTCTTTGCAACAGGAAACACTGTCATGCCTTACTCACTTTAAATAATTAAACAATAGTTACATTCATTCTTTTGATTGTTATTTTATTTTCAGTGTCAAGATGTTTTTCAAGTATGTCTCGTTATCCGCTGTAATTTGTCGAGGCTGATATATATAAATCTGAAAAAACACTTGAATGTAAATAGTATAAGGAAGATTTAACATCACGTGGATATAATGGACACTCCAAATAAAACAATTTTTCCGTGTAGTAGACGTGTGTGTAAGACAATTGAACTTGTAGAAATCCCGTCATTCTTTACATAAAATTAAGGAAAAAATAAACCAAAATATTTTGTCATGTTTTTTAATATTTATTGCTGTAAAACTCGTTTATTGAAAATGCCAGTGAATCACCTAGGTTTTATAACAAATTAGATTACATGATTATACGATAAAGTGTTTTTGTATACATCTTCCGCATAAAACCTCCATGGTGTGTATTGATATGTTTGAATGAAAAGAATGTATTATAAATGTGCATATCAGACTATAATGTATATGTTATGACAGTCTTAAATTTAAGTTTGGGCTTTACTGTGGTATCTTGCGAGTAAATGAGGACTTCCTCATAGTCCTTTTAATAGAAAAATATTTATTGCATCGATTCTATGCAAAAACCCGACGATATTACCACACGGTGCAAAATTGTGGCACCAAGAACTTGCATACCAATAATTTACATACTTTGATGTTATATACCTTGACTAGAATTGCTTTTGTTTTTTTTTAATTTTATCCCTTTTTTAATTTTCTATTACATGGGAATTATTTCTCATGAATAACAACATAAAACACATTCTAGGTCAAATCAATGCAAAAGGTAGCTTTAGGTCTTCATTGTACCCGTTTTTACTCTGTGCATCAGACGAAATAAGTATATTTAAAAAAACGGCTAAAAAAGTTTTGGAAGCCAGAAATATGCAATTAGCGCCATTGGTTTTTTCTTCCTTCTCATGAGAAGGAAGAACCATGAGAAGGAATAAGTGTGTTTGTTGAAACACCGAGACGTGAATATTTTAAATTTCCCATAGATTCCAAAACATGCAAAATGTATATGGAACATTTTGTTCTACGGACAACTCCATTTGATATCAGAAAGATTAACTTTAATTTAGAGGTTTACACAGATATTATAAACAAACGATAGTAAACAGTATTATTGAGATCACTGAACTAGAAGCAAAGTTTAGACAAAATGACAAATATGCAATTACTCATCACACATTGTATCTGAACCATCATATAAAGGTCATTTTGCGTGTTGAAATTATTTCTTTGCTGTCTGTAATTACATTGTGCTTCCCCTCCATTTTTAAATCGGACAAGACTATTTGCTATTACATTAGAATAGCCTCGTATGGTCTATTTCAATTCACTTTGCGTTAAAGGTTAAGTACACCACTAGCAGTTGTCAGAGATCTCTATATTTCTAAAATTATTATTTAACAAAGCAAGGTTTAGTAAAGAAAATATTTCTTATTTCTGGTTCCATCATTATTAAATTAAATGTAATTAACTTTTATTCATAGATAATTATTTGTTTCATTTTCTATTATTTAATATTGCCTGTCCTTCTTATATAACGAATTTTTATGATGCAGTAGATAACATGAAAATAGTCAGTTCGATTTCCGACACGGTTTTGAATATAACCGGTTGATACGTAAAGATACGCAAATACCGACATGTATGTAAAATAAGTTTGTAAAATCGGTCGGTTTGCAGTCATGGTTATTTATCAGCGCAAGTGCACATTGACCTCTTATATCGTTAAAATTAGTCCGCCTTCGTAGCCACTAAAGAAGCTTAAGTTGAACATAAATTTAAACTCATGGACAAATCTTAAACTAAAATGACAGTTTTGTTTGCTTTTGGTAATACATAAGTAAAGATTTACCTCTATGTCGAAGTCATGGAATATTCTATAGATGTATACATCATAAACATCCACATTTGTTTTATCACAATTTATCTGTATGACGTATGATTTTACAGTAGGAAATAAACTTTTGTGTTATGGTCCATTTTCAAACAGAATAAAAATTTAAGAAAGGTACACATTACTAGCATGGTCTCAAAAATTAAATTAAAAGAACTAATCGGTATTAATATCGATCTTGTCGCTATAAACATTATATGCGTTATGACGTAAATCCTGGTGTCTTGGTTTAACATATCGTGTTACAATGACAATTGTGCGAGACTCCTTTGATTACTACTACAATTACATGTATATTCAAATCATTGAACGGAACGGGGCATTTTGTAGGTTTCAGTTACAGTTAAAGTATAGCGACCACAGGCGTTCGGTATATTAACCATGCCAATAATGGTCAAATTATTATAAAATAATCACCCTCTGATCATCAAGAATAATTTTTATTCAGCACCCGTTTACTATTTTAAATATATACAAGGTATATAACACGCCGTAGCGTATTCCCCGACACGGTAACACTTTGCTCTCGCATTTTTTTATGAGAAGACTTATTTTAATACTTAAACTCGAAAAGATAGCATTAAAGATATATCTTTTAGTAATCGCTAAGAATATTGAGCCATCTAACCTGATTTACAATGAATGAATTATCAAATGTAAAAAAATTACCTTAAAATTCACAGGTCGACATATTTTGTGCCACGAAATTGCCAAAGTCTTCCACAAGTAAACTTAGGTTAAGTTGCTTGCCATTGGTAAGGAAGTACATAACAAGTCTTCTAAGTTTTGTTTTGCAAGTTTGTTTTTTATTGGAATAACTTTTCTAACCGTTACCAGGTACGAATTCGAATTCGTGTCAGCATTTTTTTTAATATTCAATACCTGGTCTTTTTTTCACGGACGAGTATTAGAGTGTATTGCATAATAAGTGCAACAGCAATAACTCTTTTAATTCTTTTGTAAATAAATATTAGAATAATCTTTGATATTGGGTTTTCTATACTGTACTCATACCGTCTATTTATATAAAGACCCTTGATACATTTTAATATATAAGTATGTCGTATTTTACTTTTGTCTTCTTTTCCGATTGAACGATGTGTATATGACATATTTTCTTTGCGCTTTAAAAGAATACAATATTTAAGCAATCTAACGAAATAAAACAGAAACTGCAAATAATTATGAACGGAACTTGAAGGAGATGAGCATTTGTTGAAATTTATGGCTGTGAAAGTATGGTTTGGAAATTTAGTGTTATATTTGGTGGTGTTCTACCGCATCACAAAGTATACAAGTTTGCTTCTTTTTGCATATCGGTAATTTCCGCCATTTTTCGGACAGGCTCAATTTAGCAATAATAGACAAGATGTTGAGCAGCAAAATTTCAGCACACGGTTTACTTGGTCAAATAATAGTGCTTAGTGGTATGTTACAAGATTATCCTGTTTAAAAATAAAAACAAACAAAAACAAAAACAGAAGTTGCCTTAAAAGGTTTTCGCTGAAAATGTCAATCATTTTGGCGCCGTCATGACATTGATAACCTTCGGACAAGTTTTTCAAACACCGATTAAAAGTCCGCGAAATTGTTCGCAGTTAACTTCGGCTTTTCAACTTCCTTGTTGCAACCATCTTTATCATAAATTTTAACGATTTGTAGTCGAGTTCTAAACACAATGTCAGAGAAGATATCAGGTATTTTTTTGATATTATGATGTGCAAAACTAGACTTTTTTCTTTTTAAGATGGTGCGTTTGCTGTCAAAATGACAGATCAGTTTATAAAAAAGAGTTTATTTATGGTGAAATTATGTTTTGGACTTTGTCAGTTTGCATCCTGCATGTAACATTTAGAACAAAGTATTTAATGTATACATTTTAGGTACGAGTTTTATCGAAAAGTGCAGACTTTCAATTAATTAACTTCATAGCAAAATTATATACGAAAAAATTGTCTGCCTTTATAACATAGTTACAATCCAAGAGTAGTCGACTATGTTACCGATCGATTTATAGTAATACATTGTAGGTCTTCAACTAATTCACCAATATAATGTGTTGAGAAGAGAAGAAATGTATGTGTTTTATAGGTTTAGATATATTTCTTGATTTAATATTTTTACGTTACCTGATTTATTAAATACTATATCAATATTATAACATGAATCGATCGTACAATTTTATCTTATGATTATCATTATATTTATTGACTTAATTTAAACACAAGAATTATATGAGTTCTATGGGAAATTTGGCATAGTTAATGAGACAGTAGAGAATGGGTCACGTGCAAAAGAGGAAGAATTAAAAGAAAAGTGGAGAAACGATGATGACGACTGACAGGAAGAGTCCACGAGTGAGTCAACAGTACTGCAGAGGATATGCCGGATGGATCAGATGAGGAGAGGGGCAAGGCGGTTAAGAATCAAAGTCAGAAGATAATGATGTACAATGTAAGTGTAAAGCCAATTGTTTGACGCAGTTTGCTGCTGAATGTACTCAATGGAAAAAGAACTGTTTGTTTTGGGTAGTCTGTTGAGAATAGGTGTAAATGAAACTATGAAAGGTAAATGTAAAAGAGTAAGATACAGATATACATTTGATGACAAAACACTCTGTAAGTCTGTGTTCAGCCACATCAACAATATTTGACAGAGAAGTCTTTGTTAAAACATTTAAATTCAAATGTACCAATAAGGCGAATTCATTGGATTACCGGAAGAAAGCCACATAAAATCCGCTCGAAGACAGAATTTGATAAAACATGCTGATTTGGTTTAACGCTTGACCTAATCAAACAAAGTCTGCAATTTTTATGTCATTTTGTTGTAATTAATGTTTTCAACGATCACATTTTTAAAAAAAAAAGTAAACTCGACTTCCTTTGCAAAGTTCTTATTTTTTTTTGCCTTTGTTATGGAGTCATAAATTTAGAATTATTGACATATTAATTGAATTAAATTTCGATGATCACATAAGGCTCCCACATTTACATTTATTTGTAAACGTTTCCATGATTGCTAAAACCCGACAATATACCGTTTAAACGGTGGTACTTTACTTACTGATTACTTACTTTCTATTGTTTATACATGCACAAATGAATAATGTTCAGGGCTTATCGCGAGGGAGTCAGCACACATTTAATATATGCAATGTATCCCTTTTTCATTTTTGGAAAGATCAAAGGAAAATCAGCTTTACCTAAAATGCATTATGATATTGTGTTGATAGTTGTAAAGGCCCTTTCTGCGTTCTTTTACTTTAATATACATCAATTAGAATTGATAAAATTCACGATTACATGCAAAAATTAGAATATTTTGAAAGACAATGTGGTGAAAAATATCGTAAATGTTTATGAATGAAAAATCGAAACTAAAACGTTTGTGTCATCGTGGATACCAAAATTGCTTATAACATTTATACATGTTATAAGTTAATATTTACACTTTTACTCGCATTACACGTTTATAGATAAATCTTTTAGAAAGCATCGGTGTGCTTAGAAAAGGACTGCTCTACAAAGTGCCACTTTTTCAGGAAATAGAATAAAAGCTTAGTTTTGGTATGTAAAAAATATACAAAAATGAAATAGATAATAATGAATATATAAATTCATTTAAAAAAAAATAATTTGGTTATGATAAACCTTGCTGTTTCAATTAAATGCTCATACGTCCTTTTCACATGGCAAAAGTGGCCAAATAGAAATCTAAAAGGACCCTTAAATGCCTCATACAGCCCTTTCGCACACGTTATCATACACTTGTTAAGTTCATAATGGCATAAAGATACACATATTACCAGTAAGAGTCATGTATGTTCCAAAAGAAATTCAATTATTTTTAGGAATAAAGTGTTATTTAAAGTATCATAACAAGAAATGTTGAAAAATGAAACAAAAAATTACAGATTTCATAACATTAATTAAAATTTTTTTCGGCATGTAGTCAATTTTGCTTCATCAATAAAAGTATGCTGCTCAAGCAAACGATATTAACTATTCTATCATAAACAATGGCAATAAACAATTTCAAGTTTTATAACAAGTTCTTAAGTTCTAAGAGCTTCATGCCTCCAGATAAGCGAAATGATTTTAAAAAAGGAAAACGATTTGAAGAAAAGTTTTAGGATTAAAGTAAAAAAAAATGCTATTTTGGTCAATTAAAAACTGTTAACCAAATTTTATTGCGTGTCTAACACAGTTGGTGCTATCTTTGCATATTTATTCTCTGGATTTCGTGGATGCGCAGGCTTGTCTGGATCAATGCTAGTCGCAAACGCACTATGTTAGTTTTGTCGTGACATCACTCATTTCAAAATTTTAGTGATTATAATCATGAATCTAGATATAAACTGTCAAATGAAAACAAAATATACCTTAAAATGAGCATTTTCTCATTTCCATATGATTATTCTCTATCCCATAAACAGTCATATTGTTAATATGATACTACATGGCATGCAAAAAGGTATTTAGCAAACACTAAAAGTGCAGAATCATTCAAATATATCCCTGTCTTATGCTGTCATACGATCTCCTTATCGTAAAGTTCTTCAATAAAAGCATGCGTTTTGTTATTTAACCTCATATGGTTAACTCGCGCGAGCAGTTTTATAACCTTCTTATAGTTGGCTATGAGCGTCCGTTTCCGTTTACCTCAAAGCACTTGCCCTCACCACTGTGGGATCTCATCCTGACAGAGACTTTGAATTCCTTCATGTGAGGAAGCTATCCACATAGCTTAACGAACGTCTTTGGTTCTATTTAGGTGCCTGTTCTTTCCTGAAATCATGAACGGAAGGGCAATTGAGGTCTTCCTCTATCAGTAAAGCTGAAACGTCGCCATATATGGGTGTGAAGTAAATCACAATCAAACAAGAAAACATAGTAAGCTGGAAAATATATAAGTGTGATTCTAAGTTTCCTTTCAATTCCCAACCTTCGTCTGAGCATGGCCTTTTCTTATTTATGATCTTTAGTGTTAACATATCATTATATTTAATTTCAAGCCTTTATTAAGAAGTTTTGTTTTTGGTTTTGGTTACAACACCCGTAAATCTTTAACTTTTTAATTTACCTCATTGTCTTCATTCAAGATATTCTCCAAGAAATTGTTTAAACAACTTTTTTATACTTTTTGCATTGTAAACATATGTTACGGTTTCCCTTTTTGGAATGAGTTTACAGTAGATTGATGACCTTAACCATTTACT